TGTTAAAATCACCAACAATTATTAAACAATCATAATCAATGCATATGAGAGAAAGAAGATCATTCAAGTCAGTAAAGAAATTTTCCACATATGCTGGAGTTTTGTATAAAGTTAGTGTCAAAGTTCGTTTGAAGCCTTTAACCTGAATTCCAAGATACTCAAAAGATGTGAAATGACCGAAAGAAATTTTACTACAGTTTATGGTATTTTTAAATATAGAAGCCACGCCTCCTCCTTTTTTATGTTTTCTATTCTCACTTAAAAAATATAGATATAGATCTATATATAGATCTATATATCCTCGGGTCCTCTACCAGAGGTTATATAGATATAGATCTATATATAGATCTATATATCCTCTGAGCCTCTACCAGAGGCCTGGGAGCTTGAGGGTCCTGCAGTATCTTGGCTGTGCCAAGGACTGCACATTTCTGGACTGAGATGTCTGATGTTGTTCCTGGGATCTGTTGTAGCCACTGCTCCAGTTTGGGGGTTACTGCCCCGAGGGCCCCGATGACCACAGGCACCTCTGTGGTCTTCACCTTCCAGGCCCTCTCCAGTTCCTCCCTGAGGCCCTGGTATTTCTCCAGTTTCTCGTGCTCCTTTTTTCTGATGTTGCAATCACTTGGTATTGCTACATCTACCACAACGGCTTTCCTCTGTTGTTTATCCACTACGACAATGTCTGGTTGGTTCACCATTACCATTTTCTCTGTCTGGATCTGGAAGTCCCACAGGATCTTAGCTCTGGTGTTCTCCACCACCTTTGGGGGTGTTTCCCACTTTGATCTCGGGGTTTCCAGTCCATATTCTGCACAGATGTTTCTGTACACTATGCCTGCCACTTGGTTATGTCGTTCCATGTACGCTTTCCCTGCCAGTATCTTGCACCCTGCTGTGATGTGCTGGACTGTCTCAGGGGCCTCCTTGCACAACCTACACCTTGGGTCTTGTCTGGTGTGGTAGATCTGGGCCTCTATTGCTCTGGTGTTTAGGGCCTGTTCCTGGGCGGCCAGGATGAGGGCCTCTGTGCTGTCCTTGAGTCCAGCTTTTTCCAGCCATTGGTAGGATTTGCTGATATCAGCCACTTGGGTTATTTGCTGGTGGTACATCCCATGTAGGGGCTTGTCCTCCCATGATGGTATCTCTGGCACCTCAACCTCCGTTCCCTGTTGTCTGAGACATTCGCTGAGCACATTGTCTGTTGAGGCTTTGTCCCTGATGTATTTATGGATCTTAGATGTTTCATCTTGGACAGTGGTTCTCACACTCACTAGTCCTCTGCCTCCTAATTATATACTGTATATATATCCAAAAGTTTGGACACATTCAATGAGTTTCCTTTATTTTTATGACTATTGACATTGTAGATTCACACTGAAGGCATCAAACTATGAATTAACACATGTGGATATATAAAAATAAAGTGTAAATCAACTGAAAATACGCCTTATATTGTAGTTTCTTCAAAGTAGCAACCTTTTGTTGTGATCACTGCTTTGCACACTCTGCATTCTCTTGACGAGGTTCAAGAGGTCGTCACCTGATATGGTTTTCACGTCACAGGTGTACCCTGTCAGGTTAATAAGTGGCTTTCTTGCCTTATAAATGGGGTTGGGACCGTCAGTTGTGTTGTGCAGAAGTCAGGTGGACACACAGCTGATAGTTCTACTGAATAGACTATTACAATTTGTTTCATGGCAAGAAAAAAAAGAAGCTAAGTAAAGAAAAACGAGTGGCCATCATTACTTTAAGAAATGAAAGAAAGTCAGTCCGAAAAATTGGGAAAACTTTGACAGTGTCCCCAAGTGCAGTCGCAAAACCATCAAGCGGTACAAAGAAACTGCCTCACATGAGAACCGCCCCAGCATAGGAAGACCAAGAGTCATCTCTGCTGCGAAGAAAAAATTCATCCGAGTCACCAGCCTCAGAAATGGCAAGTTAACAGCAGCTCAGATTAGAGACCAGATCAATGCCACACAGAGTTCTAGCAGCAGACACATCTCTGGAACAACTGTTAAGAGGAAAGTGTGTGAATCAGGCCTTCCTGGTAGAAAAGCTGCTAGGAAACCACTGCTGAGGACAGGCAACAAGCAGAAGAGACTTGTTTCGGCTAAAGAACACAAGGAATGGACATTGGACCAGTGGAAATCTGTGCTTTGGTCTGATGAGTCCAAATTTGAGATCTTTAGTTCCAACGACCGTGTCTTTGTGCGACACAGAAAAGGTGAACAGATGGACTCTACATGCCTGGTTCCCACCTTGAAGCATGGAGGAGGTGTGATGGTGTGGGGGTGCTTCGCTGGTGACACTGTTGCATCTGCCAGAGATGCTGGGGGAACCGTATCTGATGGGGAAAGACAAATTGTAGTAACACCAGCATTATCCGTAGTTTCTTCTTCTGTGGATTGTAGGAAGCAGCTATGTTTTGGGTCATGCTGCGCATGACCTACGGATTCCCTGAAAGAAAACATCCACTTGTTCTGTTTACAAGACAATGGACACTGGTACGTTTTAGAACCATTGCACTCTGGAACCTGTTCTCAAACTTGCCGTTGTCAGAGAAAACATTCGGAGGTTTCATGTAAATGTACAGTACGAACACAACAAAACTCTTCCATTTACACCAGAAATTGTTGTCGCATAAACAGGGCCTAAGGTCCTGTTTACACAGGTATACAGGTAACAAAGTAGTCTGGAAAAGTAAAAATAAATAATAATAAAGGAGATCCTTGCTGAGGTAAACTCAATAAAGCAGCAGCAGTGCGCCAGGCAAAGTGCAGAGACGCCAGATGTGTGATTGGTCCGCTCTCCGGCTTTAAATACTGTTGAAATAAGAATTTTAAAGTAGCACAATAGTACATAAGTTAACTTTTAGGTTAAGATAAACTTAGATACAGATCCAAACTGGGACAACTGGTGACTCTCTGAACTTACATAAATTCCTAATCAGAAAGCAGTCTTATACTCCCTAAGGAACATTTCAGACAGGGAGTGTATTGGCTATCAGGGCAATAAATTCTTTACTCAGGGTTGAATAGTTCAGGCAAACACTAAAAACTATAGAAGTCTGTTCCAACATATAATCAAACATATTGGTATATTTCTTTAAGCATTAAAAAGCATGTTTTTAATTAGTTAGTTAGTTTTAGATCCAACTTATCGTCATTATTTAGCATTACATTTTGTGCAAACTTGGTTAAAAATACAAACTACTTTCATGTGAAATCATTTGAGGCAGAAAACTAAAACAGACAGAGGTCATAAATTTAGCTCAGGGAGAGTTGCAGGAGACGCCTGGTACGGCAGAGACCCAGTTTAAAACATTTAAGACAGCCCCCACAAAGGAAAAAAACACACCTCCTAATGCATATATTTAAATGAGGAGAATACACATTCTATAAAATGGTTTGTTTTAGAGCAGAAGTTCGAATCTCTTTGTGCTGAGTGAGAGTTTCCCAGAAGATGCATCTTTTGTTTTTTGTTTTTCCTTTTTTACTCAGTTCTTTGTCTCTGTTTTTGTCATGTCTTGGACTTTTGATGATCTAGGTGAGATGCTTGCTGTAACATTCTGTATTGCATTGAATTCTTTGGATAAAACTCTGAATATCTGAAGTCGTATGATTGCTGTTTTCTCCCTCCACATACAGACACACAAGAACCTAGGACGGAGGAATAAATTAACGAGCTAAATCAAGTTATTCCTCTTTTTAAATTCTTAACAATACATAAACTATAAACCTTTTAGAAACAAATCTGCTCTGTGAGTGAAATGCTCAGAACAGAGATGCATGCAATCCGGCTTATAGATTTATATGTGTAAAAAAAAAAGCAATCTCCCACCCCCTCAATTATTAATTTTCTAAAAATAAAATAAAGCCTGGCATGGGACCTCACAAAGCATGGCGGCCCGCCAGGCTTATGTTGCACACTTAATGATTAGTCAGTGAGTCTTACAGGTTCTTTTATTCTATGAACACTGTTAACAAACAAGAGCGACAGTGAGTGAGTTTGGCAGCAGATAATTTTCATAACTAAAAAATATGAAGTTAAACAGGATTTAAGTGACTCTCCTGTTAGTAATCACCGGTTGACAGAAACTTTGTAACAATATTACATATACAAATTTTTGGCAATTTGATCTGAGTGACAAGGCTTTTACAGTTTCAGTAACAGATTCAAGGTTCATTGAGTAATGAACCTTTGGGCAAAGCAAAGGGCTGGAATGCTTCATTGCTTCATTTAGCCATCACATCTTCCTTTTTAGTCAGCACCAACCAATAGCGACATGTCTTTCACCGTTGTTCTTTTGGCCCTGCCCAGCATGAATGTTTCCAGCAACAAAAACTCTGAGTTCAACCAAAAGCAGGGAGCATAAAAACCAAAAGGTTGAGAATTGCAACCAAATACTTCTGAATAAAACTTTATGTTCCGCAAATAACTTTTTCTCTTCATGAAACAAACATTAATGATTTTAATTTAAAAAAAATAATAAAATAAAGTTTTTTAAACACAACTTCTTTTGTTTAAAAGAAATTATTACCATTAAAAAGTTTTGACCACAATAAAAAGATTTTTAAATTGAGATATGTTTTTTTGTTTGGAACAAAAAAAGTACTACCATTCTGAAAGTTTTATCACAGTTTTATTTTTATTTGAGATTAGTTTATTTCTTTGAACAATTGTGAAACAAATTTAACTCCATACATTCCTCTCACTTTCGTGCTTCTTCGATTCACCGTTTACCAGTCTCCTGTTTTACAATAATGCATATACATGCTATAGTATTCTGAATAATTGAATTCTAATTCTTCCATCTTACTTTCTGGTTAGAATTAATCTAATTAGATCTGAATCTCACCTTATAACTTTAACCAAACCTTCTCACTAGTTTTTCTCTTCTCACAATCAGACAGCCAGGGGGCCTACCTACCGCATACTGTGCTCCACTAAAGCTGTCCGACTGAACCGAGGTTATGGCTATCAACAACATTTCCCATGAGCCTTTTAGTTGATAACGTCATAAAACAGGAAGTAAACATGAAGGAAAATATCATCAAGCGGCTTCACTGAGCCATGACAGATCGCACAGGTTGCAACCCTTTTCTCTACTTTAAACAGTGAATGTAGCAGCAGGGTGCTGTCACATCCCGTCTGGTGGAGCAGCTAACGCGTTAGCATGATGCTAAACAGCTTTAGCTGTTCGGCTGGTTCACGGTTGCTTCGATAAAACATCCCCGCTGTCATGTCGTTGTTTCAGACTGCTGTCATTCAAAGGCTCATTTATCATTCTCACTACTCTGTTGTCTTTAGCAGGTTTAGTTAGAGCTCTGTTGTCTTTAGCAGGTTTAGTAAGAGCTCTGTTGTCTTTAGCAGGTTTAGTTAGAACTCTGTTGTCTTTAGCAGGTTTAGTAAGAGCTCTGTTGTCTTTAGCAGGTTTAGTAAGAGCTCTGTTGTCTTTAGCAGGTTTAGTTAGAGCTCTGTTGTCTTTAGCAGGTTTAGTTAGAGCTCTGTTGTCTTTAGCAGGTTTAGTTAGAGCTCTGTTGTCTTTAGCAGGTTTAGTTAGAGCTCTGTTGTCTTTAGCAGGTTTAGTTAGAGCTCTGTTGTCTTTAGCAGGTTTAGTTAGAGCTCTGTTGTCTTTAGCAGGTTTAGTTAGAACTCTGTTGTCGTTGTTCGCATGAAGACTTGTGGATAGGAGACATTTAAAGATGTTAATGATAAAACCCAACCTGTCAGATTGTTGAATAACAGGAAAGACAAATAAGCAGATGGTGTTTGTTTAAAACAGTGTTGTAACCCTAAGATAAAGACAGAATCAGAATCACATTATAAGTCTGAGCTGAGTACTGTATGCTTCTTCCAGAAACCAGTTTGTGACAATTTGCTTCCATCTCATCTTTCTCTGTCACACTTACCAATTATTTGGAGAAAAAACTTTGTAATATTCTCCTTGAACTGCTAATATGTGTCCATCCATTCAGTCAGTCAGTCAATCAAGATGACAGTACAGTTAGCACTCTGGTGGCAGGAGTCCACTGACTGGTGGGGCCCAGGGCCATTGTTGTTACAGTGTAGCTCTCCACCATCGGTGTGTCCAGAGCAGGGGAGCTACCATCCTGCAATTTTCAGATGCTTCCCTGCTCTAACACCCCAATCAAACAAGTGGCTCATTAGCAGGTCAGTTCAGAGCTGATGCTGGTCTGTTGGAAAAAGGAAGTTGCAGGACAGTAGCTCTCAAGGACTGGACTTGAGGACCCCTGGTCCAGAGCATTTATGTTGTATAATAAATAATCTAACAACTAGAACCATTATTGTAAAATTCTTCACCACAAACTTTCTGTTCCTTTGAGAAACTTTAAGTTATTGCTGTAGTCATGATTTCCATCTGAAGTGTATCCCTCCTCATGGAGAAACATTTATACTAATGCTCCAAGATTATTAGGAGGTTTAAATCTTTTAAAATCTTTTTCCAGGTGTGCTGTTTCTCTGGCCTGCGTGATCCCTGCTTTTCTCATGGCTGAGGTGATGGGACAGAGGTGCCTTATGGGCTTCGGTGTGCTGCTGGCGTGGCTCTTGCTTTTCCACCTGCTGGTCAATATTTGGCTCCTATGTGTGTTCACCAGCTTGCTGCTGGTGCTCGGAGGTTGGTTTGGCTCCCAGGCTATCCTGGAGTCCAACAGCTTGGTTCACCTGGAGAGGTTCGTCAATCTGGAACAGGTGAGTGCATCACTGAATGGGTTTATTTGTCATGTGTGTGTTTCATTTTGTGTCTGCAAAATAATCTTGAAGACATACTGAGAAAAGGTAACCTACCTTAGCTTCTAGTTGCATGGTCAAATGTAAAATCTTTCAAAAGCATTCATACTGTTTGAATTTGACATAGCATGGCACAGCCACAAACTTTATTGTATCTTATTGGGGTGGTCTGTCATAATGCGTCATTTTGAAGGGGAAGAAAAAGATAAACAATTGAAAAAAGGTCATGAAAGTACTCCTAAATAAAATCCATTGGAGCACACCATAAAGATTAGGGTTTAAAGATGTGCAAATGTGGAAGAGACTTGCAGCAAACGGTGGTTCTTCAAAGTATCCACTCAAGAGGATAGAAAACATATGCATACATCTCTTTTCTGATAATTTGCTGTGAATTTTGAAAATAAAGGAACATTCTCCCTCCACTTCAAAAGTACACAGCACTTTGTGTTGGTATATCACATAATTTTAAACCAAAAATGCATCAAAGTATACGTGTTTAGAGAATTTAGTGATTGTTTTCCAACAGTTGATAATGGGAACATTTTGGCCTTATTGTTATTAGATTTTAAGTGCAGCGTTTGATACTATTAACCATGACATCCTTTTACTTTGCCTGCTGCATTGTGTTTGTCTTAAGGGTACAGTTTTAGATTGGTACAAGTCAAATTTGAAAGACAGAAGGTTTTCTGTTCATCTGTAGCACCAACCCTACACTGAAAAAAAAAACTCTTTGGATGAACATAAAAAAATCATGGAAAGGATTTCCACCTGATTACTTTGCTATATTTCAGCACCATGTAATTCTGTTACTCCAATTTAAAGCAATTGTGTTGGCTCAACTTAATTTATTAAGATTATTCCAATTTAAAGCTCAACTTAACTTTTAAGATTGATTCAACTCTTTTACTACAGTTGGGCCCAATGTAATTTAATAGAACAAGCCCAACTACTTTCAATGTTTTGAACCAAATAATCAATTTTACTTGATTAAGATGAATACAAATTTAGTTGATATCACCTTATTTTACAGTGGTACCTTCACACTACTTCATTAAGTTGAAATTAAGTTAGCTAAACAAACATGCTTCATGCTGAAAAAAAGCTATTTAATCATGTGAAAATCTTTTCGTTATTAATTACGTTATTTCAAAGACATTTTTTAGGTGCTATTAACTTAAGTGTTTTAAGGCAGCACTGGGTGAAAGGGTAGAAAGAACACTAAACTATTAGAGAAGGTAGAATAGAACTGTATTTTCATAATTGTCATCCATTTTCTTTTTCATGTGCAGTGCAGGCACTTTACTACCAAAGGTATAAACTCTTGCCATATGGCAACCCATCTGAACATGCATGTAAGCTAGTTGAAATTAATAGTTTAAACAAAGCCTTTGAAGTCAGTGTTTAATTAGTAACAAGAAACTTCAAAATAGTTCAGCCGACCACACACTGTAAAAAAGTTACTTTCGAATTTACAGTAACTTACTGGCAGCAGTTTTGTCAGTAAGTTACTGTAATTTTTACAGTAAAGAAATTCCAGTAACTTTAAAGTAACTTTACGGTAGTCTTTGGACAGTAGCCTTACTGTAATTCTATTAGTTTTACTGTGATTTTATTGCAGTTTTTTCTGTTATTGTCATTACTATATTACTGTAATTAGATATGTTTAACTACAATTTCTTTTAAATAGCACAGTAATTATATAACATGGTTACTGTGATTTCATCACATTTTTATCATGATACAATTACAGTAGTCTTGTAGTAGAATTACTAAATGTTGTCATTTTGCAATAGTTCATAAAACTGCATACTTTGCTAGCTTTTAAAAGTTTAAATGTGAACTTGCAACTTAATTTACCAAACTCTCCAAAAATGTTTTATTTTTATAATTTAAAAAATATATACATGTATATTTTAAAATCACTTTATTTCATTGCCAATTTAAATCCGACAAACGGAAGCAAAACAAAATATAATATTTTGCAGCAGCAATATTTGCTTGTTACACAGAAGTCAAAGTATTGCAGCCAAAGTGAACAATACTCTGATCTACAAACATAACTGATACATTTACCGTCATGGTAATATTACAAAAAATAGAATAACTTGAATAATCTTTACTAAAATAAAAGTGCCCAAACATCAAAGTTTCTAAGCAAACTGCAGGTCAAACTCATAAAAACAATGTTTTACCAGATTTTCATGTAAAACTTGCAGTTGTTTTGTTCCTTTGAAGGAAGGAAGGGATCCAGCAATGTCAGGTATTGAAGATAGATATTTTTCAAAACTTTATTGGAACCCCAACAGTACATCTTAAACATTTGGGCAAGTTTAAGACTTAGTGAACCGCCAAACAAAACCAGCCTTGAACTTCTCCAGAAATCATCAAAGAGTCGCTTGAAGATAAAGAAAGAAAAACATGTTTTAATACATAAAAGAAGCAGCACATTAAACTGCATTTATGTTAGTTAAAGACAAACAGGATGGAAAGGAAAGATTTAGTGGACAGACTCTGACCTTCCTTCATTGACGCTGTCTTTCTGTCTTTTTATTAGAAATAGACAGAACAGATACAGAGACAGGCAGAGAAAAAGAGAGATGGAGCAAAAGAACTGATTGTGTGTAAATATGTGATTTTACCGTTTTAAAAGTTTCACTGGTCCATGAAGGAGGAGAATGAAGGCCTGTGGGTTCACTGCTGTGTTTTGCATAATTTGTCCTGTTGGTTTTGTGTCACTTTTTCGTTTGCAGCTTTTGTTCCACTTTCTGGGTTGAGGCTTATGAATCGCCTAGAAACAGATGGGAGACTATTCAAAACAACCCTTTTGTTTTTTTAAGTACATATACATTTTGAGTAGATGTCTGTGTATTACCAAATATGTTTTGTAAAGGCATTACTGAAGTAGTTCTCATAGGCGCTGCTGGACCCGCTTGTGGCCTTGATGCTGTTTCCTGAAAAATAACAATGTTCAGTGATATTAGCTTTAACTTAATACTCATGTACACAGAGACATTTCCATAGACAGATACCTTCTGATATCTCTATTCATATACATTTACAGATAGAGACACCTTCTGTACCTTTTGTGCCTCTATCTGTAGACCTAAGGATGGCAGATATAGTGAGATGGTAAAATCTCACTATATCTATGTTACAGTGAGACACAGAAAATTTGAGTATCTGGAGCAGTGAGAGGGGTGAGGGGCCGGTCTTGTGGTTGCCCCAAAGTGCGGGACGGCAAAGACCGGTGTTATTCGTGCAGGTGAAATTGCGGGCTAGTAAACTAGATGTGCACAACGTTGGCTACAGACCCAACACAAGAAAGTTGAAACTGTTCAACTCTTGTTGCTATCTGCTGTTGGGAGAAAAAGTATTTTGCTGTTCATAGCTCTCTGTGTGTAACGTGCTGCTGTGAACTAGACAACCCTCCATGGGAGAGAGGCTCTGATGTCAAAATAGGTGGTTCGATTGATCTGTGTTACGTAATATTATTGTAGGTAAACTGAACTAAAAAGCACTTATGTTGCACATAATGCTAGCTGATTGATAACCAAAGTTAGCATTAGCAAACAAGTGAGAGTAGCTCAATATAACCACATAAAATATATTTTGGTATACAAACATAAAACTGCAGTACAGTGTCTTTAAAAAAGTTCTTACCCGGTGAAAGTCATTGTTGGTCCCGCCCACTAGCCTGTGAATGTTTGTTTCCAGCCGGTAAATATCCCACAGTGCAACTGTACATTAAAAATTTACAGCACAGCTGTAAAAAGCAGTCCCATGTACTTTCCATATGCATTTCAGATCACAGTAAAGAGCTGAATTTTCAAAACTCAGCCACCTTACTGTATATTTTTATTCTGCAGTTTTTACAGTCATTTGTTACAGTGCAGTTCTTAAGCGGCAATAAAGCCTTTCAGAGAAAAACAAATATCTGTAGTTTATTGTGCAACTAGAACCAAGATTTCCCAGGCGCAAAACAGTTATGTCGCGTTATCTCCGGATCTCACTAGACCCTCTTCGGCAGGAGATCAGTCTAACTAAATTGAATCACGTTATCTCAACTTGAATACATTTTGTTCACGCCAGGTTGTTTAATTTTATTTTTATCTGACATTATTTTATCATGTGTTAAGAATTAAAAAGAGAAATAACTTAATTTAGCTCGTTAATTCATTCTTCTGATCCCGAATTCCTGTGTCTCAATATATGTGCAGGGAGAAAGAGCAATCATACAACGTCAGACTTCAGATATCCAGAGTTTTATCCAGAGAAAATCAATGCAAGAAGAATGTTACAATAAGCATCTCACCTAGATTATCAAAAGTCCAAGACATGACAAAACAGAAACAATTAACTGAGTAAAAAAGGGAAAAAGAAACAAAAGATGCATCTTCTGGGAAACTCTCACTCAGCACAAAGAGATTCGGACTTCTGATGTAAAACAAACCATTTTATAAGAATGTGTATTCTCCTCATTTAAATATATGCATTAGGAGGTGTGTTTTTCCTTTGTGTGGGCTGTCTTAAACGTTAATTTTATTACCTCTGAGACCCACTGAAACACCCAGCTCTTCTCTTACCAGCTTCCTGGCCAGACTGTGATTTACGGCGTGCATCTGGAATGTTATCTGTGGCTCAAAATGATTCAACAAGAAACCAGTTGGTATTTTAAACAAATTCGCACAAAATCTATTGCTTAATACTAACTATAAGTTGGATCTAAAACTAACTAATTAAAAATATGCTTTTTAATGCTTAATATATATATATATTAATAAGAAATATAATGCTTAATAAGAAATATATTAATATGTTTGATTATATTTTATAACGGACTTCTATAGTTTTTAATGTTTGTCTGAACTATTCAACCCTGAGTAAAGAATTTATTGCCCTGATAGCCAATACACTCGCTGTCTGAAATGTTCCTTAGGGAGTATAAGACTGCTTTCTGATTA